TTAAAAATAAAATACCAAACAATCTGAAAGAGCTTATAAGCTCTTAAACATCTTATAAACTCTTTGTAAATGTTTATAAGTTTAACCAAACACTCTCTTAGTCGAGCAAGTAAAGTTCGAATAACTAGATTACCAAAAGATATGTGGACCGACGGTGGGGTAATTAGAGACGAACTAAGGTAAATAAATTTAGAAAACGATTTATTGCTATAAAGAAAAAATTATGCAAAATTTTAAATTTATTGAATGGAATGTTATCCTCATTGTCCTTGCTATACCTTCTGGGCCATGTGGTTAGTCGAGCAAAGTTTGAAAATTAGTTTAAGGTGGTGTTTGCAAAAAAATATTTAAAATCAGAAGTTAGTGATTGTGTGTTAAATTGAATTAAGTGATTATTTCTAAGGTGGTGTTTGCAAACGCTTTTTGAAAGTGACTATGAACTTTTTTTTGCTCATAATCTATTTCAGGTGTTTGCAAAATCATTTTTTTGCTTTAGCTTCTTTTATAATAATCTGCTTTAAGCTATTTTTTTAAAAGCACCCTTAACCCTGTTTTTTTCTATTTAAGTTAATTTTCCGAAATATTTGCAAACACCCCCAATTTTTAGAAATAAGCACTTAAAACTGACTTATCTTACAATCACTAACTTCTACTTTTAAATAATCATTTGCAAATACCACCTAAAAATTGGGGGTGTTTGAAAATTAACTGGAAAATCAACTAAAATAAGAAAAAAAACAAGAGAACATGGGTGCTTTTAAAATTATCATATTAAACAGCTTATACTTTATCTTAAGAGAAGGTAAAGCAAAAACTTATTGCAAACATCTAAAAACAAATTATATACAGAAAATAACTCATAATCTATTTCCAAAAATATTTTCAAACACCACCTAAAAAAGGGATTATAGAGTGGTGAGAAATTAGACACGGAAATAAAAATAATAACTGAATTTAGAAAACAATATTAACTAAATAAATTGGTATATAAAATCGAAGGCTGTCCTACTACCTCTTGACCCATCACTTGTGAATTTCCTTTTTTTTTTTTTTTTTTTAATTTATTTATTTATTATTATTATTATTATTATTATTATTATTATTATTATTATTATTATTATTATTATTATTATTATTATTATTATTATTATTATTATTATTATTATTATTATTATTATTATTATTATTATTATTTTTTGTGGGGAGTAGGGGAAACGGGTAATTAGATGTTGCCCATAATTATTTACACTGGGTGAAATTCAATCATAAATTTACACATAATCTTACACACACCCAAGTATATTTGTACTTTGTGAGTGATTATTTAATCAAATTTAAAATATGAACTTATCCGATATAAATAATCATGCATAACATCTATCTGCACGCGGGGACATACCCATTTGAAGGTGAAGAAGACTTGTTTCAACTCTCATTCTTGTGGCCCCTATGGCCCATATATGGTCAATAACAGTCCCATCTGTTACCCATATTTTAATATATAGTATATAAATATTTATTTATTTAATTCTATAAATTATTATTCTAAACAATAAATTATTTTTTCATGATAATATGAAATATTGTTGTGGCCAAATGATGGGTCCCTTTAATCTTCTTCAAGCAGCTATCTCTATCAACCTAAAGTGATCTTGTCCCTCATCCCTTCCCAATTCTTAATTATAATTATACATTTTTTATATATTTTATTTTATTATTATGGCTAGGTGTAAATTATTCCTCAATTATTTAGTATCTACCTACTATTATATAGATTAGTGTAATTCTTTCATAATTAATGAGTTGTCTAGGGCATGTTTTCTTTTTTTCTTTTTCAAAATATAAATAGTTTTTTAAGGTATTATGTCAACATTGGGGCACCGATTTGATGAATCTAAGTACAATAGTTGGTAATTGCTCTGCAATCGGTGACTTAGTTGGTGGAACAGAGAGATGGCATATTTAAATAACCCGAGTTCGAATTCATTTGTTAATGCTTTTTAAGTTGAGTTTGTCGATCACAAATCACTTATGTTTACTGTGGTTCACATATATTTTTTTTTAATATTGCACGAGAGTAAAAATTTATACAGTACACATATATAGTTGGCTGCAGATTTCTTTATAAATAAAAAAAAGTACAACATTTGGTCATCTAACTAATTATGTCCATTAATGAAACTAACATCTAGACATTGTCACATATCTGATCAGATCTGGATTGAATTATTTATGATTCAATAATTTAGAAATGTAGAATTTTGTAATTTAACATTTAAAATTTGATTTTTTTTTAAATAACGAGGGAACCACCATAATAAACTATATAGATGTATTGGCTAAACTTTAATCTAAAAACAACAAAGATATTATATTCCAATTTAAACGAGGGAGGGAAAAGACTTGGACCCCCGGATTAAAGAAAAAGGGTGATTGTTATATAAAAGATTGAGCTTTCAATTTTCTGCACGAAAAGGCGAAATCTTTCACCCTAGGGCCCTATCCTTGGCTTGATAGGGTTTTTATGAAGATATTTAAATAATGGCGACTTAAATAACCAGTTAGAATAGCGGACACGAAAAATTAGGTTCCAATTTTTCAATATGCTAAAGAAGAGTCGTGTTTGTATTCACACTATAATTAAATAGAGTGACAAAATACTAACAAAAAAGTCATAAAATAAAGTACCAAATAAAGCTACAAGAAAAGGCCATTTTTGCTATCCCATTTTTTTTTCTTCTAATAAAATTTGTCATAAAATTAACCTACATATTAAGAAAATAAATAACTCCTTTTCATGTTTTCCCATTTGTCATTCTTTTGTACGTTTCGTTAATATATTATTTTGATTTTTTATTTTTTTTTAGTTCTACATATATAAATTTGTTTCTGAATAGGATTTTCCATTTTCTTGTATGTACCAAACTGGTGGATTTGCTAGATTGTTATAAAGCACAATCTATGTTCGTTTTCATGTAGGCATCTCCAATTCCTTGTATTGTGTAAACCAGATATAGGGCATTTTCTCAATGTAATTGATCAACATTCACTCAGCACAAATGGAAAGAAATGTTCCGTAAGGGATCGCCTCGCGGTTCGAGCTAATAACTGAGTTTGTGTCAATTGATCCAAGTTCGAACTTGTCACACGTGGTTAGCCTAGTGTGGTTAATGTTTATCGTTTAGCTGTAATACGAGAGTGCAGATTTATCCAGTGCACGCAGTGGCGGATTTTTGGGGGGGGGGGGGGGGGGGTGTAACCCCCCCAAAAATTTTTTTTTAACCAATTT